ATTCAAGGTGATACACTGGAGGTGAAATGAAGTGATACTCTGGAGGTGATATAAAGTGATACTCTTGTGGTTATTCAATGTGATACACAGGAGGTGACTCAAAGCGATACTCTGGTGGTGATACCAAGGTTATGATGTAAAGTTGTAAGATAAATGAAACTGGATTTCGAAATAGATAAGATTAGACATAGCTATATCAAATCATAGACTGAATGACGACAAACTAGAACTCATCCCATACATACAAATGAGGAACGGTTAATAGTGTCCAGAGACAGAAAATGGGACTGGATTATTATCTGCTGTCTTATAGAATTCTTTCAAAAAATCTATTTTCTGATTACTGATTCTGATTACTGGCAGATGAAAAACGCAAAATATTCATACCAAAACATTTCTGTACAGAACATTCATTTATTAGTTGTAAATGAGGTTAGTAGAGGTTTTAATTAACTCATTTATAATATAAAACATAATTATTTTGACAATTTGAAGTTTAAAAACATAAATTTACCCCATAAGTTGATAAAACAATCACATGGTGTTTATTTTGGAGCTAAACATGTTTAATAATTAAATCATGTAACAGTCCTTAAATCGGTTTGTTTTTGATACAATTAAGAAACTGCAATTTATATAAATTAGTCTGAGTCCTGTTTATATATTTTATAAGTTGAATCCTATTTAGACTCGTCCATTCTAGGTGGAAAAGGCTTATGCGATTGCTTTTTCTGTACCTTTTTAAAAAATTTAAGTTTGTAAGTCAGTAAAAGTTCAATGACAACTTAATTAGCGAATTTCTCACAAAAAAAGGCTGTCAAATCTCCTCGACATCCGTGTTCGTGGATCCTTAACATCTCTTTTTGTTTTGAGGTCTTTTGATTCTAATATTGATTTATCATTGCACTTTTACTATTACTTATCTTAAGCAAGTCAATCTATTTTTTTTGCATATGCTGGATGATGGTAAATGCGTAATATTCATATTATAAAAATACTGCCTGAAATATGTCTTGATCAACTCATTTTAACCAATAGAAATTCTCATTGTAAACGTTGCATGACAAAATCATAAATCGAAAAATTACAAAAAAAAGTAAATTAACAAAAATACAGAACTCCGAGGAAAATTCAAAACGGACAGTCCCTAATCAAATGGCAAAATCAAAAGCTCAAACACATGAAACCTGATTTTATAGCTAGCTAAACCTCTCGCTTGTATGACAGTTACATAAAATTCCTTTATATTAACAACAATGTGTGAACAAAACAAGCAGACATAATAGGTAAAAATATCCAAAATAGGGTACATCAGTCAAAATTGTGTTATGATCTTAATCAACAAACCGATTACTAAAGCTACATATAAACAATTTGTGCTGCTATATCAAAAAGAAGATGTCGTATGATTGCCAATGAGAAAACTCTCCACAAAAGACCAAATGACCATGTAATTTACTGTCACCAAATCTTTTATTGGTTTCACGTGGAGTTTTTGTATTAATGAATCAGTATCTTCCGAACCTTTGAAAAATGATCAATTAGTAAAAGATCATTGTTTTTTACTGTTGGAAATAACTTAAGGATGTTTGCTCCTCTTGTTTTTGAATTATTGCCAGATATTTGGAATCCTCTTGTTTTATCCATATAGTGCTATTAAAAATCTTGCAGGCATTTCCCTTTTCTTTCCATTATTTGATTACATATAGTTTAAAATGCCATCTGTGAAAATTTTATAAAATCCTTGATATTTTGTCGTAAGTTTTGAAAAAAAAGGTGCCAATGTTGAATTATGAAAAGTCTAGAGAGAATCGATTTCCGCCAAATTTTCAATGGCTTATATCTCGAATACAAACGCACGCATTGTTTTTCTGCTTTTTTAGTTCCTTCATTTATATACTATCAATTCCTAACAGTCTTTTAAAAAGCTTGTTATTTTAAAATAGAGTATCGAACATCCTTAAGGTAAGATTTCAATAAAATATTATTTTATGTTACTATAGTCGTGTCACCTTGAAAAAAAAACCAAAAAATAAAAAAAACCGCCAAATCTCGAAACGATAACAACGTACAAGTTAACAACAACACAAAAAAGACGCAAGTTGAATGATCCATATTGGTCATTATGTCAACACAGTATGTGGTGTAAAATTCACTTAGTTTAATGCACGTAGATGTGAAATGCAAGTTGAAGTTTGCATAACAAGGCGTATTATTGAAATATGATACATGCTCAGATTCTATATCTATTTATTTAATTTGATAATTTTATCAATAAATTCTATTTTTTTTTCATTTTAAATTATTGCTGTTTGTTTAACGTCCAGTGACAAAACTTTCATGCTTGGAGGTCCTGCAAAAGGGCTAAGTGTTTCTACAAAATACATTTAGCAATAAACATATTCTGCCAATGAACGACTGCAGATGTTTTTTTTTATTTTTCTTCTGAACGATATTACAGTAAAATTGTATACATACATAAATGTTAGCGCTGGAAGGTCTTTAAACGCTCCTTGCTGTATTGTAGTTATTTGATTAGTGTCCAAGTCTCTGTAACAATAGATTTGCAATTTTTCTGTATTATAGAAATTATTGCGGTGTTCTTTGCCTGATACATCTAGACACTCGCTTCTATTTAGCTGTTCATTTTAGAACGAAAGTCTAAATATTTCAACCTGTCTTTCAGTTTATAATTGAGACATGCTTGAATGTGTTAACTGTAGAAAATCAATGTTTATATACTTTGCACCAGAAAAGCGACTTCGATTGTACGTATTCAAACAGATATTTGGATTTTTGTAGTACTTAATTCTGATTTACATCGCTCCAAGAGTAGGTAATATAACAGTAGCTTAGATGAAATCTGGTAAAATCGAGTTTACAGTTAATTGAGATGAGGTTTCGTGGATCATTTGGCAGACTTAGCGATAAAACGTTGTGTGTAAGGACACTTTAGCGATTTTGGTTTCAGTAGAATGAAGGATGATCCAGTCTTTTATCCTTGAATAAAATTCTAAAGGAACACAAAACCGACATAACAACAACTGTCAAAGATCAGACATCAATAAAGAGTTATCCAATTAATTTTAAACATTGTGTTATCATTTAATACAATCAGTTTCAGCATTCCTAAATTTGGACAGATAAATGATGGTAAAATCAAGCCGTCCTTTACAAATGTAAAAATTGATGCACTTCGATATTCGTAGACGATTTCTTCAGAAACATCAAAAACAGTGCATGAAGCTAAAACATTTGTAAAAGTAATAGTTTCAAAAGATGTCAAGTAAGTGTATTGTTGATAACTTTTACCGCACATTGTTTTTTTTTCACTAAGATTTTGCTCGATATAGGGTAATTCGACTGCTCTTACTATTCTTTATATATTTCGTTATTGTAATCCTTGTGTTATGACTTTCGGCCTCATTTATTTATCTCAATACCCCTTAGCCGATCACGATTATAGAGATGGAAAAAAAAACGGAAAATTAAATATTGATTTTGTTATCATTAATTTGAAACCATACTCAATGTTATTGTTATATGCATATGTACATTCACGGTCCTACAATATGTCTATACATATATTTGAGCATTGCACAAGTTCATGTTTTTGTTTGACTGTTGATGACGTCTTTATACTAAATCCATTTGATACTCGATGTTCACTGATTTATATTCTAGTCTTATATAGAAATAAGAAGAAGTGGTATGATCGCCAATGAGACAACATATAAACATGTTTTTGTATTAGTTGTTATTGGCCCTGAACTAGCTTTCGGTAACTGCGAGTACTCTCATATCGGTTAGTTGTTTTTGTATTTTCTATTGATCTGATGAGTAAAGCCCTTTTCAAAAGAGAAAAAGCGTTCCAAATATAAAAAGCGAAAAGAGTTTTTAGAAGTCCATACATAGATAATATCGCTGTCACAATATTTCATTACGTGCTTCTTTAACCGTTCCACTGCTTAAAACCGAACATGTGTAGTTGAAAATTTCACTGTTGCTGATTTTAAGAATAGTACAGTTTATGAAGTGTGTCGTGAAACTTACAAAGCATATGCATAGTGGGAGTAACACTTTCCGATCATTTATTGTTAAACATGTTATTTCTTCAATCTTATATCCGATGTAGACATCGGTGTACTTGAAATTACATTTCAGTTATGACCATTGATCATAAAGTACTGACATAAATCTTCGAAAACAATGTTATTTCCTTTGCTCGGAGCAATCAGCAGGTTTTCCAGTATTTATTTACTTTTTTGTGTCTAAATATTGTTTTACTAAAACGATTTCGTAAAAAAATACTTTCGAAATATTTGATACGATTATCAGTTGCAACAAGATTAATTGTTAGGACAACACCAATGATTTTGATCAGCATTTTATTTTCTTAAGTTGAGTTTAGTTGAAGTAAGAGCATGTATTTCCAGAATATGAAATAACACAACAAGCTCACACAAATTGAGAAAAACTTACAAGTATTGCAGATTTGGCAAAGTCATAAACGCGCCTGTCTCAATTGTTGATATGTTACACATTCGGATTGATCTAAAAACATCAAATTGTAGAAATGATAATTATGTCTTTGTAAATGAACAGTAAGACTATTGTACATTTTAACCGAGTAATAATAACAAAAAGTTACTAATTTAAGTGCATCAAATGGGCATTTCGACACATAATCATTTCAAAAATTATATAAAAACAAATGTCAATAAAACAATTTTCTTATTTTTTAGTATCGACTACTGTGTTAGAGATGTTTTCAAATGCAAAATTCATAAACAGAATGTACAAGTAAGACTTCTACTTTATTGATATGATTTTTTATATGCAAGTGGAAACATAAACATTCAGAAAACTCGGTATGCATCATTTTATTATGTTCCATGTGCATTTTCATTTTCTTCTCTTTTCCAATAAAAAGAAAAGTTATATGTACAATAAATAAACAATTGTAATATGAAATTTAACTTAATAATACATACACTCTAAGAAGTAATGCCATATTTTGAAAGGTTCCTTCTTCCACTATAGTAATGGGATTACTATTCATATTTCTGAAATGCATAAAAGCAACAAAATATATATATATTTATTTATAGTTCGGAATCACATGTATTTGTTTTGGTAAAACATGCTTTAGAATAAATGTAATGGTTACAATGGTTTTCCGTTGGATGGAATTTATCGCATTGCAGGTATAATTCTGCTAATTAAACAGGTATGCTATTATCGTATGATCTGGCTCGTGTTTTTCGTGCTTGCCGTTTTCATATAAATTAAATGTAATTTGTATTGTATTTATTCGAAGTTCTGCTTTACGCCGAGTAGCATACTCCTTACAGCTGCTTTGCTTGTATAAAGACCACCCAACCCACCCTCCCCTGAATCGAATATTGGTCTTATATGGAAAGTAATGGTTATTTATCATTAACTCTGTATTTCTTGTTTTGTAGATTGATTTATATTTGTATGTTTTGACTGGATGGTTGTAATTGAGCCTGATATGTCTGACTGTTTTATACATAAGTAACGACTGAGAATGAGCCGTAATGTGTTTGAGAAGTGCAATGAACTGATTTTTGAGAAATTTTATTATACATCCGATAACAAAATTATGCCACTTTCACAAGGAGAGCTAATTTCTGATACATGTTCTGAGTTTTTATTTTATAAATAATTTATGTTCGTTTAAGTCTGGCGAACTAGAGCATAATTAACGTTAATTGCTTTTATCCTGCAATTGTGTGTCTTATCATACATAAATAGCCCAACATGTATTGCTAGCCTGTATTAATGTACTATACATATATCGCTATCGCTTTAAAGCTCCACCCACTGCCGGGCTAGTGGGCGGAGGAATATGTTTGTGTATTACAGTTGACGAGTTTTGTATGAACTTTCCTGACCTCAGAATGTGTATTGCAATCGCATTCCAATGACGTATTGCTCCGTCTATGAGTGTTCCAGTCTCCGGTGCGCAACCCACTTTCTACTCATAGACAAACATGAATAGCAGAATCAACTCCATTTTCTACGGCGCCTATCTTCAAGTTCAATACTTTAATGTGTTAATCACAACATCAACCATGCAACAATGTCAAAAATCTGTGAATGCACGGGCAGTTCGAAACTCTGAAGCGTAGGATAATTCAAACACATTTGTCTTAAATCGGACAATGCTTTGTTATTTCTTTTTACTGTTGAAATTAGTTGTTATGTTATGATAAATAATTATTTACTTTGAGCGATGTATTATTGCTGACCATGCGAGATTCTTTTCGGCGTACCAGTCATTAGCTGATTGTGTGATTTTTTTTATATTACTACGCGGGTCTCAAAGGGTTTTAAATCGAAAATAAATGCAATAAATGTGAGTTTTTCTGTCTTTCAAAGCAAAAACAATGTACAAAACTAATTGCAGGATAAAGACAATAACTGTTCAGTGTCTTTAAATATCAGCTGTATTTGTACTCGGCTATAAACAGGAGTAATAGCTCGCTGCAGGTCGCATTACACCTGTTTCTTAGCCTCGTACAAATAAAGCTGATATTTAAAGACACTAAACAGTTATTGTCTATGTATATTCAGTTATTATCATTGGTTAAAGAGGCAGTTAAACATCTGTTTAAACTTTGCTAGTGATAAAGAGTGCTAATGTAGCTATCGACAGATTGCCAATCACATAGTTAGATTAAAAAATGCGACTGTCATACGAGTGATATTAGCTTAGTATAAAATCAGGTTAAATGCAATAAATGTGAGTTTTTCTGTCTTTCAAAGCAAAAACAATGTACAAAATTAATTGCAGGATAAAGACAATAACTGTTCAGTGTCTTTAAATATTTGCTGTATTTGTACTCGGCTATAAACAGGAGTAATAGCTCGCTGCAGGTCGCATTACACCTGTTTCTTAGCCTCGTACAAATAAAGCTGATATTTAAAGACACTAAACAGTTATTGTCTATGTATATTCAGTTATTATCATTGGTTAAAGAGGCAGTTAAACATCTGTTTAAACTTTGCTAGTGATAAAGAGTGTTAATGTAGCTATCGATAGATTGCCAATCACATAGTTAGATTAAAAAATGCGACTGTCATACGAGTGATATTAGCTTAGTATAAAATCAGGTTAAATCAGCCATTATTTACATAAGGAAATGCTTGTACCAAGTCAGGAATATGGTTGTTTCCATTCCTTTGATGTGTTTAAGGTTTTGATTTTGCCATTTGAGAAGGGATTTTCCGTTTTGAATTTTCCTTCAAGATCGGTATTTTTGTAAGTTTACTTTTCGCAATGACAATTCTATGAAATATAAATGCGATGGACATTTAAATTGCAGAGTAGAACAACTAATTTGTAGAAGACATTTTTGTTGATATTCAAAATCAAATATTCCTTTGTAACATACAAAACAAATAAATAGAACTCTTACGGTCCTGTTGCAAGTATACGTTTATCTTCCCCAATCGTGTTACATATCTTTTCTGTAAAGAGTTTTGACGACGGCTGATTGTCTTTTTCCTCTTTTTCTTTATGTTATGATGCTGTATATTTTTTTTCTCACTATTTTTACAAAGAAGCATCAAATGATCATAATTGTATAAGTTTCAAAAATAACTAATGGTAAATAACGGAGAGAGAAAAAAACCCATATTACATGTAGTATGAGTCATTTGTGAAGTTTCTCGGAATAACGGTCAGTCCTCTATTATCACAATTTACAGTAACCCCATTGCTATTTGTGGTGCAGTAACAATTGCTGGGACATGATAATACCATGTCAGTTGACACTGCGATGACAAGTATAGTAACTGCTACATTATAGTACATTATCTTCATTCTGAAATATGAAACAGTGATCCACAATCTGAGAAATTTATAGTTAGAATGTACAAACACGGATCAATTCATGCACATATCATTGGATTTTGATACAGTCAAATAACTTGTCGGAAAAGTTGAAATAGACAATGATAACATAAACGTGTCGATGCATCAACTCGACTAAGACATATATATCTGCCCTGGATTGAAACAGATGGCAAGCATTATGAAAACTTCACTCGACATCGATTTGGCGTCAGCAATTCAACATAATATCTTACCAGCTGCGTTCGTCATGAACATGATAAACTACAAACCAGAAATAAGACATCATATACTTTCTATTGACTATCTGCTGAGTAGAGACACCTGTATTTTAGAACACTATTACATACTTCCGGTCGTCTAATGGTTTCATTTAAGACATGACTTCATTGCAGGACAACGAAACACCACAAGGTATGAATCTGACGAACTCCTTATTCGGATGTTAGTAGCAACCTTGTTGGACTGCTTTTAAAATTATACCATATAAACCTGAATTTACAATAACTTAAATACATGAATAACACTAGAAACAGTCTATAAATTTGTTCAACGACCTTTTTATTACAAGAATGAATCGTCCAGTAAGCCTAAGAAGAAAAAATATCAGTCTACCTCTGAATATAACACATCAAACACAAAACTCGTTAACGGCAAATATATAAAAATAATGAATATAAAGCAATTAATGAACAGATACATAGTTGTCCTCTCCTCTCATGGAATTGCTTAATTTTTCCAATTTGATAAATAGAGACAGACTTCCACAACATTTTGCTACTCCTTTTATTTTTTTTTGTTTACACCATGTACACATTTGATTTATGTTTTTTCTATCTTTTTACATGTTCCATGATGGTTTGTTAGTTTTATTTGTTGATTTATTGGTACGTGTTTAATGCCTCTTTCAGCACTATTTCCTATTTCGTGACAGTCAGTTTTATTGGTAAAGAAAGTCGGAGTGCACGGAGAGGACCACCAACCTTCGGCAGGAAAACTGACAATCCTAGTCAATCAAATAACAATAAGGATACCAATTTTTCTACACCAGAGGCGCATTTCAACAATTAATGTCTCTTCAGTGATGCTTTAAGGTCCTATAATACTCAGTAATCGGGAGCAAAAGAAAGGACAATTTGTGACATATATACCGAACAAGACTGCGACTTTTGATATGAAATGTATATTCTTTTTTATAACATTTCATGAAGTTATCGAAGCATATAATTCACTGTGTCTAAACTACACCGGCAAAAAATGTTTGGACTCGATGGTATCTAATATCCGGCACGGTGACGGAACATAAATAGACAGAGAAAAGGTAAGTTTCTATTTATTTATTTGTTATTTTTATATATATACATATATAACTATTTTCTATTGTGAGATGTAATATTTTCTACAACCGTTCTAAATTAACGGAGAAATAAGTAAAAATGCATGTCAAAATGACGAATTGAGCGAACCTTGCCTCGATTTTGTTTAATATCTCATTAAATTGTTCACATTGTACGGAAAGAAAGATATTGACATTTTGATAGCAAAACTAGACACTTTGAGCACCTCAATACTTGTATTTCTGTTTATGGAACGAAAGAAATGGGTCATGTCAAAATGGAAGGAGCCGGTTTTGTCAATGTTGTTTACTACACAATCACCCGGTTTTGTCTATGTATATCACCCGGTTTTGTTTTGTTTTGAAGCCACAAATTTATGAAAAGCAACGCTAACACGGATCAATACATTGTCCATCGAAAGAAATTCAACATATATGTTATTGTAAAACAACTTCACTTGCATTTTTTCACAAAAATAAATACTTCATATTATTTATACAAGAGTGTACGCACTGACATGTAGCGACTGCTTGAATGATCGTAATTGAATCTATTTTGAAGATCTGTAAGATAAATAATTTAATGAAAGTATCACATAAACTTAACATTGTTCATGGAACCATAAAAAAGTCAAGGTCTAATGAAACCTGCCAGACGGACATGAACACATTACAATCATTAAAACAAACCAACCAAAAAAATAAAAACTTAACATTTACCAATTAATCAATAAAATAAGTTAAAGGCCACATAAATAGTCATGTGGCCATATGGGCAAATATAGTTGACCTATTACTTATGGTATTAGAGATACATATTTGTTTTTCGTTTATTTTTTGTACATTAATTAGGCCGTTAGTTTTCTCGTTTGAATTGTTTTACATTTGTGATTTCGGGGCTTTTTATAGCTGACTATGCGGTATGGACTTTGCTCATTGTTGAAGGCCGCATGGTGACCTGTAGCTGTGTCACTTGGTCTGTTGTGGAGAGTTGTCTTATTTGCAATCATACCACATCTTCTTTTTGTTATATTGAACACGAAATGTTAACCTTGATCATGGATATCAACCATTATCAGTGTGACATTCACAGCTATTCATTTTGTTAGGAAATCGCTGAACTATGAAAATGAGGTCCAGGGCAATGGCCATATGACAGATAGAAACATCGTAAGATAAAATATCTGTGTGCGAGGTATGTTGCAGTCAGGCCTTCTAACTTCTGACATATGAAGCTTCATACAAATAGTTCAAGCCGCCACGAATTTGCATCCCTTGGTCTCGCATTTCGACGATTCTAAAATATCAATGTGAATTTTTAGAATAAACATGATAATCCTACTCACATACATCCAATTTCGGGGGTGTCCCTGTTTTCTTATTTCTTATAAAATTCTAAGTTAGTATACGATTTAGTTATATAACATTAGTGACGAATCCAGGCGGCGTATAGGTCGCACGCCCCCACCCCCACCTTTGATGGCCCCAAAAAAATTAAATCATGTTTTTTACGATTTTTTTTTAGCTTAAAATTGTCCAAAAAAATTATTCGCCCCGCTACGCTCGGCGTTATGTAAGTTGTTTGAATTACGCCCACTTTGGAAAAACATAAATCCGTCCCTACATATTGTCAATAATATATTGACCAACGTCAATGTACGATAATCATAACACAATGGAGAGAGAACAGAACCGTTTATTTATAGAACTATTAATAAAATAACCATTATTGCATTTTCTTGATGGCCTGAGACTATTATACAAATTTATACTTAGTATTATCCTTTTCTCACCATAAACATTCATTTTCTATGGCGATTCTGCATGCATATACATTTGTCTTCTTATTATGTCTTATAATAAACACTTAGTCTTAAAAAGCTTTATTTTAAACGATCAAAGGAAAGATTAGATTGGATCACTTATAAAAATAACCATCCTGTTGTGCAAGAAAATCAAATATCAAATGTGCGTGTTTCAATTTTTAAGACCGTAAACTGTAATTTCAAGTTTGATCACTTACATTTACATATTTCATATAAAAAACGTATAAAGAACTTAAACCTCAATTTGCGTTACAACCTTCATTTCTATTTATTTCGCAGTTAAAGTATTTTTTTAAATGCAAAGCGAAATTATAAATATTTTTGTTCCAATAAAGTAGGAATTCAAGTGTTTACAGATTCAAATAAATAATAAGTTGTCCTCTGAAGGACTCGTTTTCCAACGAGCCACCAGACTCCTTTTAAACGCCGAAGTTCAATTATATTATGTGATTATGCATTTTTTTTCTTTGACAAAACCGGGTTCTGCCTTGTGAAATCTAGGACAAAACCGGGTTGTATACATTGACAAAACCGGCTCCTTCCATTTTGACATGACCCATTTCTTTCGTTCCATACACAGAAATACAAGTATTGAGGTGTTCAAAGTGGCTAGTTTTGCAATCTCCATGTTAATATCTTTCTTTCCGTACCTTTCTTTCCGTACAATGTGAACAATTTAACGAGATATAACACAAGTTCGAGGCAAGGTTCACTCAGTTCGTCATTTTGACATGCATTTTTACTAATTTCTCCGTTAATCTAGAACGGTTGAAGAAAATATTACATTTCACAGTAGAAAATAGTTATATATGTATATATATATTTTGATATCATAAAAATAACAAATAAATAAACATAAACCTACCTTATCTCTGTCTTTTAATGTTCCGTCACCGTGCCGGATATTAGATACCATCGAGTCCAAACATTTTTTGCCGGTGTAGTTCAGACACAGTGTACTTATAGTTTACTAATGTTGGCATAATCTAAACAATATGTCACGGCGTAGATTTTAGACGTCAAGATACTGCATGATGAAGTAAAAGTTAATGCTAAAGAAATATCGTCATAAAAGGAGTTACAGAACAACTCCTTCAATTGTTCTCCAAAAGACTTGTATTGAGTATACGTTAGCAATAAATCCCTGTGATGAACAAAACAATACAAACCAGTAACAAAACAAAAATTGTTATCATATGATGTATTAATTTTTCTTTCAAAGACAAATGAAGGGAAATCTTTCAACGAGTTTCGTTAAAGCTAGTTCAAAACTTTGAAAAAAGCAAACATAGTCCTTAAGTACAAATCTCGTTTTTTTTAGGTGAAATTTATTTGTCATACGTAAACGACAATACTCTGTAAATCAAATACTTTATAAATCATGAAAAAATATCAAGAAAAAATGTATGCAGTTAACACTTTTGATTGTCCAAGACTATGGCAAATTGGGACAGTACAACATTTATCGTGAACAAATCAAGAACGGCGCACATACTCGGATATAATCTAGACGAAATTATTTAATACTTGTTCAAAAACTTGTGTAATGGATAATCATTTTAAAATCGCTTTTATAAACACCGAGACATTATTTTATATGACACGTTTCTGTGATAATTTTTTTTTTGGGGGGGGGGGGGGGGGGGGAGTAAGCAGGCTTGATTTAGTGGATTTTAGTAAATTGCATCATGCTTATGACTATGAGGAATATTCCGAAGAGTAGTGTATGGCATTAGTTATATATATAGTACAGGTTCCAGCTCCGGTCAGGGAGGAAGAAAAGAACTAGATCTACTCTAACATTATAAGTTGATTATCTTTCACTTTATAAATATTCTAACACCAGATATTTCCTAATCATATGGAATCCGATGGACAATGTATAGAGTGCAGTTATCACTTCGCATAGGCAAACTTATATCTATAAAAGTGCCTATTTATAAAGTAATTAAAATTTTTTTTAGAGTCTAATATTTTAGTTTTGAAATTATTTGTAATTAATATAATAACCACATTTACTAATTTATTGACATTTGTACTTGAACTTTGTTTTTCGAAATACTAGTTACCTTCATGATTTCTAGTGTTTTATATGTTCCTATGATCGCAAAAAAAATACAAACTATGTCCCTTTAAAACATTGCCCGTTAAATATCTGTATTGAAATTAAAAGTTTGTGTGTTTATAATGTATTTTCAGTCATTGTCACTCAATTAAAAATTCGTACATGATTTTTCATATCTAATTTAGATTTAAAGGTAAAAAATCAAACATACCTTTCTAACTTCTTTCCTTAAACGTTATTTCATTCAATGTATTTTGTTTTTTCAACAGCTCCGTATTATAGTTATGAAAGGACCCCTACATTTGATCAAGGTAAGATAACACTGTGTTGTCTATTTAGTTTAATCAGGTAGGTGTCGTGTATATGTCAATTAGTCATTTTTAGTTTTCTTATTTGTAATTCGGAGTACTGGATAAAAGCTGCAGGATATGAGACAAGAATAAATGTTGATCTTTCGATTTCATATAAATATTCTACAATGTGGAAAAGCATTTCATCCGATACAAACTAATTCTTTGTAGTATATTATGTAATTATCTATCAAAATTCATAACATGACTATTTGGTTCTTATAGTAAACAGACAGTACAACACCAATAAAATGCAGGTAAAAGACAATTCAAAACACTAAATCTCCCAAAATCATATGAGGTACACAAGAACACAAATGTACGTAGTCTTGTATTATATAAATAATACATATTGAAATACGAGATATACCAACAGTTTTCTATTAGCATCTAACTTACATAATATTGTATTTGTATAGTGGACGAATTATACATTGTACAACTTGGTTAATACATGCGGCTAAAGTGTCCTATCTGTTTCCGAGGGTATAACGTCCAGTATGCAGTGCTTTGGTATTGGCATGGTTGCAATGTATACATTCGTTTGTAATTTTAATCAATAAAGTTATGAATTGCGTTTAAACATACCATGTTCATCATCGTAAGTCATTGCATTTAAGACAGTTTTGATTGTTTTGAGTAGGCTGGTTGATTTTTTTTTCAAACGTTTTATAAGTAGGGCGTTGTAAACGTTTTGTCACAATCGTACATTATGATCACTTGGTCGCACACAAATATCTTTATGCTTTTGTTTCTTAAAATCATTGTTAACTTCTTTATCTGTTAGATAACATACTATAGTTTACACCATTGGATACCGATATACAAGAAAAGTTTACATTGTGTGTTTAGAGGTTAGCAAAATACATCGCATTATATCATACCGATGATCAAATATAGTTGGTTAATCGTTTTTAGCCTAAAGGCACCCTTAAGCTTAAACAAATGGATACGTAAATATATGAAGACGCGACGATTTTGTCATACCTCAGCACTTCAACAACATATTTAGTTTCAAACAAGGTCTATTAGTGGGATATTTGTTTGCGTCCACTATAAACAAAAGATTTTGTACTTTTATGTTTTTATATGAACAGATTCTTTATCTTCTCTTGATCAGGATGTTTTTTTTATACCTGTAAATTATATTTTGCACTTGTTATCAGTTATCTGAATCTATGTGTTTTGATAAGAACAATAGAAAGGATATGTCGTTTAAAGTTTTATACTATGGACAATAATGAATCACTAGAATTCAACATCTATATAGATTAAGATAATCCGATGATTAAACCCTTGTCTCGCTCAGGGAAATATGTTACATTAGACATGACGAAATATCGAATGGTTGGTAATTGTATGTCTAGTTAATTTCCCCCGAAAATCTTCCATTGATTTACATCTCCATAAAGTTTGATTAATCATTAGCGGAAAGCTATAAAGCTATATGTATATTAGGAGTTGTGTTTACGACTTTCCTTCCGGAAATTTGGGTGACCAATGTTTTTCAAATATGTACTTTATTTGATCTTTTTAACCTCTTTAATTTGAGCGTCGTGTTTTGTAGAAGGAAAGCGCATCTGATGTACAAAATTGTAATCATGCTATCTATGATTATTTTATTTACAAGGTTTATCAATTGACATTGACAGATAGATTAAAAGAAAACTGACAGACGAACTTTGATAAATATATATGTGTATATATATTTTGCCTGTATGTAATGACAGCTTGAAATTATATCTTGTCCTTCTGTTTGCGTATGATTAGGAAATACTAGACATAAAAAATATCATAGATGGATATAGAGCATCAACTGAACAACAATTGATTATATCAGAGTCTTTCTTGTTCCTGTCACTGTACGGTAACACCGTCTGGTATTGTACATACCGCCTTTTATATATCATATAACTTCAACTGATTAAAATCGGCTTTTACTTCGGAATGTTAAATTTCTCACATGTGTTGAACAACGACGACTACTCACAATACACATTCAAGTATTCTGAGTGTCATATGTTTTTTTAAAACATACAGGCACTATAGATTTATATTTATATATGAAAAACTCAGATCAATGTCCTGTCTTCAATGGATGTCCGTTCTTCAAATCGATGTCCAATCTGACGTCATAATTGAGCATGTTTGCAGATTGAGGGCCGGTTCTACGCGCCTCTAATCGAAGTATTTTTCTGATTTCAAATCGTATTTATGGTTGAGATCTTATGACTTTAAAACAATATTTATTTCAAATTGAACTAAAACAGTAATTTGATTTCATGGAGAAACAAAATATGATCGAGGGTTACAAGTAATAATATTAATTTTCAAATGTCTTTTTAGTAATTCATCTGACCCTTTGCTATGGCAATAAAGCTATATATTGTTGTCATATTGTTCGAGGATTTCAGTTAGTTTTACTAATAAGCTATTTCCTTGTCCCACGTTTGGGACCTCTTCAGTACTTGACCTATGTAATATCTATTAGCTATCTTTGTTGTTGAGTTGCTGTCTCACATAGACTCTCTTCTATAAGAATATACAAGGAATTAGACAACGTAGATCGAGTTCATAAATGGTTTCTACATATTAAACTATTAATGTCGGCGGATTTATTCTTTTGTCAATTAACCATGCGCGTTGTTTTATCTAAGTTGGTTTATTGAGACCGAGCCTTGTTTCCATTTTTGTTTCTTTTCATAACTCAACTATAAAGTCATATTGGTCATCGATTTGTGGTTAAAAATATTAGATCCTTTGTTATGAGGATGTTACGTCAAAGGACGTCAAATTGAGGAACAGACGTCGATTAGAGAACGGACGTCGATCTGCCTATATTTGCAATGATATAAATTGAAATACAAACATGCTTAACATATTAGAAAATAGTGTTGAGCTCACATTTTTCGTTTCAGGACTACCAGTGTATGCACTGTAAACATCTTTTTGAATTTGTTTTTAAAAGACATAAAAAATATGAGTTAGCATGAAAACAATGCGTGATATTTCTTTTAAAAATGGTTTAAAAGAGAGACGAAAGATACCAGAGGGACAGTCAAACTCATAGATCGAAAACAAACTGACAACGCCATGGCCAAAAATAAAAAGACAAACAGACAAATAATAGTACAGATGACACAACATAGAAAACTAAAGACTAAGCAACACGAACCCCACCAAAAACTGGGGGTGATCTCAGGTGCTCCGGAAAGGTAAGCAGATCCTGCTCCACATGTGGAACCCGTCGTGTTGCTTATGTTATTACAAATCCGGTAAATAGTCTAATTCGGTAGGTCACATTCGTGAAAAGGGAAGGGTATTGTAGTTACGACATAAGGAACATATCCGATATTATCTGTGAAACGGTTATTCTTTAACGGTCAAACAACTCGTGATAGCGTCCGTAAAATTTACGAAGGGATGATTTTAACTTCACCATTTGGAACTCTTGGTTTAATAGCTTCCTTGTGAGCAGCAATCCTCTATCAAGGAAATCATGATAGGAAATACAAGCCCGGGAATATCGTATCAATTGGGAGATATATACTCCGTATGCAGGCGCTGCTGGAATGTTGCTACATAGAAATGGAAAGTTCACAATTTGGAAGCTGAAATCATCTCTTTTGTCGTAAAGTTTTGTTTTAACCTTCTTTATCAGGATGTTTTTTTTCAATTCGTTTGAAAGTACTTTTTGCTTTTATCAGTTACATTTATCTGTAAGTTTGAAATGAACAATAGAAAGGAGATGTCTCCAAACTTAAATTTTAAACTTCCTTACAGGTGCACGTTTTCTCATTACTTTTTTTTATCATAATAATAAAAAAAACGTGGGAAGTATTTTCTTGCTTAATCAGAAATGAATACATTCGATAATGCATTCACACAAGGTTAGTTAAATGACATAATATTTGTCAGCACATTACATAAAATCTTTCAAAAGAGGTTTCGCATTTCTGAAGAAGGATCATCTTTAATGCGTAGTGCAATTCATCATGTTAAGAAGTATGTTATCTTGCTCTACAAAAAAAAAAGGAATGGTTGGCAATTTTATTAAGTATAAATAATTTTTTAAATCCTGAATGCTATTCATCCATGTACAAATTTGTGAAGTCTACAAAATTGAAAACCTACTAAAAGTGTTCAATAAGTGAAATTATGATCCGAAGAATTGTCATTATTGCATACTCATATAACAAAAATGGATGGGATGATACAAAATGTACTGTAGATTCATTTAATTTCGCGGATACCAACTTTCGTTGACTCACGAAGAATTGTATCTTCGTGGGAATTTGATTTCGTGGTTTTGCCAAAGTTTGCAGACAAGCATATAGAAAATTTGTACTTCGTTGAACATTTTAATTCGTGGTTTATTTCAACCCACTAAATCCAAGAAAATTGGTATCCAACGAATAATGATGAATCCACAGTATTACGTGCAGACATAAAAAAAAAGACTAGAACATTTTTGTCATGCGTAAAATACAGTTAGGATTTTATCTTATTTTGTATGCACTGTTCACAAACATTTTAGAACATTTATCCGTAACCCTTGTTCTCTTTGATGATTGTTTTATATAAAAAAAGAAGGATAAATCTATTGATTAAGAATGTTGAACTAGGATTTTTTTTTTATTCTAAACTGAGCATATGCTATAAAGGGACATCTGTCATGCGCAATGAAATACGAATGTACTATGAAGTTATTATCCTTACTCTATTCACAAAAGCTGAAAAGCGATAACAAAGAGTTGTTCTTAAAATGTTTATTGGTAGATAGATAGGACAAAGAGAATAACAATCGTGAGATGATTTATACAATCATTTGATCTACATTTAGTTTTCTTTAAACATTCATCAACACTAACGTTTTATTAAATGCAAAAATGCAATACACGACTGATCTTGTAAATCAATTGTAATTTTACAAATGTAAATATTGATTCTTTTTTTTATT